TGCAGAAATGTAAGAGAATGCCATTCTTCTCATTATTTTGTTTTGGAAACTAGAGTTACTTTCCTTTAACAATTATGTTAACAAGTAATGGTCTTATTATATTTTAAAATGAACTAGAAACGATGTTTTAAGTGTTTTCATTGTGAATTTTGAATATGGTAAATATCAAGGGAGACAATCTACATGGCAAAAGCTGTCTGGGGTCTACCATAATCTTTAAGCATGTGAAGGGGTCCTGAGACTAAAAAGCTTAAGAATCACTGACTTACAGGACATTGCCTAGACTGGTGAGCCAGATACTGGGGACTTGCCACTATTCATCTCCATCCTGCCTTTGCCACCTCACTTATGACTCTGAAGTACTCCCAGGTTCCAGCCTAACCTACTAACTGACTTTCTGCTCCTCTTCTGCTCTTGCTATTCCTCTGCCTGGAACTCATGTCTGAACCTCCTTTATCCACCTGTATGCTGCTTACTGGGTCAGAGCTAGCTTCTTAGGGCCTGAGGATGGAGACTCATTCCGACCCAAATTCACAATCCGTTTATGGCTATATGGTGCATCTAGCCTTCAGGATCTGTTCATTTCTCTTCCTTAATTAGAATTCCTGGAGTGCAAAGGACTCAATTTTCCCTCTGTTTATATATATATTTTTATCATTGAAAAGGCCAAGTACCCTGCCATAAAATTTATGGGATTTTTGTAAATATTAGCTGACAATTTCAAGCTATATCTGTGGCTTTTATGATCCCGTGCAGATTAATCAGGGTATTTAGTGCCTGCTGTGAGCAGAATACTTGGCAGTTGGGGGAGGGGGGCTAAGGAGGTGATCCTTGCTTAAGGACCCGCACTGTGCTTGGAGAGACAGGATTTATAGCCAAGAAGCAATCACACAAGAAGCAAAGACACAGAAGGTATCTAATCAAAGGAATAACCAGGTGCTGCAGGCCTTTAGGAAAGGGGAGGTGGGGGCGTTTGCAGCAGTGGAGGAATCTGAGCAGGCTCCTGGGAGGAGGCAGGGAGTTGCTGGGGACTCGTTAAACAGGGAGGGTTTAGTTAGAGGTCAGCAAGGCAGGATTTTGGGTCAGAGAATAAACGCGAGCCAGGGCAGAGTCAGGAATGAGCGCAGCATGCTCACGGCCTAATGAGGAGGCTGCTGACCACGATGAAGGTGAATGGTGCGAAATGATAAGGTTGAAAGCTGGTCAGAGGCGTTTAGACCGGAGTCAGAAGGGAGGAGGAAGCAGCTTTTTCTCTCTTTTAGTTAGGGAAGTGACACCGTGTTTTCTGAGTACAAGATGGGTTATTTGCGGGAGGAGGAGAGGAGATGGGGCATCTAATCAGTGGCCTAGGGGTGTGCGATGGTGAGGAACTGGACAGGGGTATCGGTGAGGTTTTCTGAATGAAATTCATTCAAATCACCACGTCAAGAATGTCAGTACGGCGCCTTTAAATGATAGTGTTATATATATACAGGCCTAGGGATTAAAACTCCACAGTAGCATGTTAGTGACATAATTGGGTCTTATCACATGTGGCTGATTTAGAGATGGAATCTTTTATTCTAGAGTTCCTTCATGTTTTATTGTTTCAGCTACTAAATAATTGTGTGTGTTTTGGGGCAAATTACTTAACTCCTTGGTGTCTTGGTTTTGTCATCTGTAAAATGAGGGGATTAATAATTTAATACGACCTGTCTCATAGCCTCATTGTGAGAATTACACGAGGTAATACATGTAAAGTGCCTATATTTGTGCCTGGCACATGGGAAGTTTTTAAAAAATATTAGTTATTATTGTGTATTTATTCAGGAATTCAGATGATCATGGGAATAGAAATATTTAAATTATCCAGTGGGCCAAAGCCTTCAGAACTAAGCTGAATGAAGGCCCTCAAAAAGAAAAAAAAAGAAACAAAAACTTGATGGAGACACTGCAAAGATGGGATTCAGAAGCTGGGACGGAAAAATGTGAAAAATTCTAATTCCACAAGGTCATTAAGATCTGAAGTGTAAAGCTGGGAAACCCGAGTCACAATTTAATATCACTTCTCAGCTTAAACACCTTCACTGGTTTCCACCGCAGAGAAGATAAATCTAGTCTTTTTAGCAAGCCAGCTAGCTTTCCTTCCCCAGCCTGGTGGCCTGCACCTCAGCTGCTCTGCACTCCGGCTAATTTTTGAACACATCCTGTCTAATACAGCAGTCTCCCTTGCCTTCACTCTCTCCCCCAAAGCTCATTCCTCTTCCCCCATTGATGCACTACAAAATTAGTCACCTGTTTTTAATAGACTTTATTTTTAAGGGCATTTTTAGGTTTACAGAAAAATTGCTTAGAAAGTAAAGAGTTCCCATCTCTCTCTCTTCCCAACAGTTTCTCCTGTCATTAACTTTCTGCGTTAGTGTGGTTCCTTAGAACCGATAAACCAGTATTGCTACATTATTCTTAACTAAACTCCACAGTTTACATTAGGGTTCACTCTTTTGTGCTGTACACATCTATGGGTTTTGAAAATGCACAAAAATAATGTTCTACACCCACCATTACAATATTGTATATTCATTGCCCTGAAATCCCCCTGTCCTTCATCTATTTGTCCCTTCCTCTTTCCTTCCCCGTTTTTTAAGAATCAGTTAAAATGTCACCTCTTTGAAAATACCTGATTTCCTCTATTATAAATCTCTGATGCTCACATAGCACTTTCTTCATACCTGTTATAGCTCCTATGATCCAAATAGTGTTAGAAATACACACTCTTTTCTTCCTGTAATAGAGTGTATGTCCTTGGTGGGGGGCGGGGGGCTGCAGCATAGATTTGTCCCGTTTTTACCAGGTGCCTTGTGAAGGCTGAGTTGTGAGCAAATAGCAGGGTGGGATTTTGCAGAATAGGTCTCAAGAGGCAGAGCTTTAGACCTAGAGTTCTGAAAGTGACAAGTGTACTTGTGTATTTTAAAGGACCCAGGAGTCCAGGATGGGAAACTCTCTGAGGGGAGCTGGTTACTCTCCTTTCAGATTTGGGCTCAGAAGCAGCCTCAGAGATGGCCCAGGCCAGTTTTCTATTACTGACTAGGCCTCATGGCTCTCTTCTTGCCTCTCCTTGTAAAAACAGAAAAGGACAGGGAGGTTGGTTGTTCCCAGCCCTCTTGTCCGGATGCCCCTCTCTGGAAGGCCCTCTCCGCCCCCGCCCCCCACTTCTCAGGTGGCCCCTAACAGCTAAGGGTGCCCAGGGTGCCTTCTTTGGCCAAGGAGCACCTTCCCTTAATTTCTTAGTTGGCGCTGAGCTTTTTGCTTTATTTTTGCTTTTAAGTCTCTGTTCCCAAACATTCTAAAAGGCTGTAGGAGCATGTAGATCAGAACCAAAGCAAATATATCGAACCTTGTGAAGTAACAAAGCAGACGTCCTTATTCAAGAGCCAGCACGACTGCTACATGAGAAATACCGCTCACGCACTAGAGACAGTAGTTCCCCCTCTGGACGGGAACTGCCATTTGCAAAATCCGCTCCCCCGACCCCCCCAAATGAGACCGTGAAGGTACCATAAAACCAACTACTCTCCTTCTATACGGGAGCCTGCAGTTTCTAGCAGCACTGCCTATTCCTTCAAGGGACCCAGTTTGCAAGACCTTGGAGGCTTTGACTTCCCCGCACCTGCCTCCTAACACAAGTGGGGGTGGGGGTGGAGAGGGAGGAGAGAGGGAGTGGGAAAGAGAGGTGTCCTCCCCATCCCCCAGCTGTCTCAGAGCCCACAGCAGAGCCAGATCCTGCGCTGGGCGGGGGTGGGATGGGGGACGCTTTGCAAACCAGGTTAGATCTAAAGGGGCTGTTACCTGGGGCAGTGAGTGCTTTCCAGACAGCCGGGCTCCCCAGTCCCCCCGCAATTGGAAAGAGCCGAGGAAAGCTACGGGGCTCCAGCCCTGCTCCGGAGCAGTTTGGGAGCCGGGCAGAGCCCCTCGCCACCCGAGCGACGACCTCCCGCCCGCACCTGTGTTCCCAGGGGGCGGGGCGTCCTCCAGGTGTGCAGCGGGGGAGGATGGAGCCGGGAGCAAGGCCCGCCGCGGGAGCCTAAAGTCCCCCGGCCGCCCGCCCCGAAGAAATGCCGGTGGAGGAGCGGTTCATCCGCACCCGGCCTCGGCGGGATCCGCGGGCCGCGCCCGCGCGTTCGCGGGGGAAGGGGAGAGCACGCCGCGGCGCCGAGGGGGTTAAGCAGGCGGCCCGCGGCTGGAGCGCGCTTAACTCTTCGGCGCCCGCGGGTCGGCCGAGCCAGGCTGGGGTGGTGGGCCCCCGAGTCCCACGCGGCGGCCACCCGCACCGCGCGGGCCGTGCGGGGCGAGCCGCGGGCCGGCCTCCGATCGCCGGGGCGCAGCGCAGCCCGTGGGAGGCCCGGGGCGGGCGGGGGGAGGGAGGGGGACGCGGCGGCGGGCGCGCAGCGTCGCCAGGGCGAAGCCGGCGTGCGGCGCGGCGCGGCGGGCGCGGAGTGAGCGAGCGAGCGAGCGCCTCCGTCCCCGGATGTGAGCTCCGGCTGCCCGCGGTCCCGAGCCAGCGGCGGCGCGGGCGGCGGCGGCGGCGGCGGGCACCGGGCACCGCACCGCGGCGGGCGGGCGAGCGGGCGGGCATGGGGGGCGCGCAGAACGGCCCCGGCGGCCGGGCCGACATCCCCGCGGCGTCCCTCCGCTAGAGAGGGGGACCAAGCCAATTCTCCTTTGCAGCAAAAAAATTACATGTATATATTATCAGGATAATATATACATCTGATCTTATTTTTTAGAAAAAGTTTATTTTGCTCCGATTTTGAAAAAGAGGGAGCGTGGGTGGCCAGCGGTTTTTTATAAATTATTCTTATTTTCTGTTATCTGTCCCCGTCCCTCCCCACCCCCTGCTGAAGCTTCACTAAGGGCAGGGACCTCGGCTCTTACCTATCGGTCACCCCCTTACCCGTTCCTCCCCCGCCCCAACGCCTAGCACAGTGCCCTGCACACAGTAGGCGCTCAATAAATGTTCGTGGATGATGATGATGATGATGATGAAAAAAATGCAGCATCAACGGCAGCAGCAAGCGGACCACGCGAACGGTGAGCAGCCAGAGCCTGGGCACCCGCTGCCAAATCTCATCCTTGTCATGGTCCTCCTCTTCCCACCCCCTCTTCCTTCTCACCCCCCCTCCGTCTCTGATGCGCTGGTGGGTTGAGGGGGTTGGAGAGGATGCTTCTAGCTCGGTGTCATCTACATAGAAAGGGGAGATGCGTGACAACCACTCCATTCTCCCCTTCAGGCCTTGAATGTCAGAGTTAATTCTGCATTTGTGGGGTGGGGGTGGCCGTGGGGTCCGTGGAGTACAGTGTCGCCGCCGCTGGAGGGGCGGCGAGCCCAGGTGATTCTGGTTCAGTGTCCTCGGGCTCAACTTTCCTCCAACGCTCGCAAGCGATGGGAAGAGGGTGGCTGTGAGTCTTCAGCCCGAGCCCCCTTTCTAGCCTCTTCGCCTCCTTTCCCGCCCCCTGGTAGATTAGGAAGAAGGTCTCTGGTGGCATCTGGAAGATTACAGGGTTGCCAGGTTTCACCCTTCTCGTCGGTGGGTGAAGCACTTCGCTACCCTCGGGAGGGAGGCTGGGTCTCGGAATCGCTGGCCAGAGGGTCGGATGGAAAGTGTATTCCCGCTCCCAGCGCGGCTGTGCACACGTCGGTAACCTAGCAATGCCCGGGGCGTCGCAGCCGCTGTGGGGCTCCTCTCCCTAGCCCGCCCGGGCACCACGTGCAGTTACCGCGCTGCCGGCCGGCCGGGCTGGGTCGAAGGGAGGGGATGCAGCTCCTGGCCAGCCCTCTTCACCCCTCCTTAGAGGTCGCTGGAGTCCCCGCAGCCCTCTGAGGGCTCACAGCTTTCCCAGTGAGCGCTCCCCAAGGGAAGACTTGGGACGACTCCTCCCTGGGTTCAGACTTCTGCTGCCCACTCCTGTGGACCCCTCTCAGGCTGCTAACCAGGCAGACCTGTGCTCGGCTCTGACTCTCCCGTGTGCAAGAATTGGTTTCACAAATGCCCATCCCTCTCGCTCTGACTTCTGTCTCAGTAAGGAGGTTGTGACCCAAGGCAGGCAGGTACCTGGGAGACCTGCCTGGGTCCTGGCCTGACCCCAGGCTGGAGAGGGCTTTGCACATGAAGTCTCCTTGGGGTTCTATCCTGTGTGCACTTGGGTCCCAGTCTATGCTGAGATGGTTCCTGTTTAGGCCTTGAGGGCCCCTGACATAACTCAGCCTGTCTCTCCTAGGTGTAAGGATGCAGGCTGCCTGCCTTGTCTGTTTCTCTGGTTGCTGGTTTGGCTGCTGTGGCTGCAATTTAAAATGCAAAAAAGCCCTAAAGATGTTTGCTGTTTTCGGAAGCCTGTGGAGGAAATGAGTCCCAAGCATCATGAATTTTCATTTGCAGGAAGTGTCAGTGCATAATCTAGGTATTTGTTATGGGGCTCTTGGTATTGCCCTGATGCCAGTGGAGGAGTTTTTTATTTTTTTTCCCCATGCTGAAAAAAATGCATTTGTGGCTGTGGAAAGATGTTGGAGTAACACCCTGAAAATGATTAAGACTATTGAATTATTGCCACTGCCTTTTTTTTTTTTTGGTGATGGTAGTTATTTTAGAGTAAAGCTGTGGTATGTATCTGTTAACTCACTAGAGATACACAGGATTTGAAAGTCAGAAAAGATTTGGAATATAAGTGGAAATGACCTCAGTTTGTCTGAAGTAATGCACTGAAAGACTTCTTGTGAAGATATGGATGTAGAGAGGTACTAACTTGGGCGAAATGCAGCGGTCGTCGTGTGTTACTGACACTTTGCGCAGAGCTCAGGGACTTTTCTTGCTGCTCTGGCTGACCAAACCCTGCTTCTGAAAAATAGGATATGAGGTTTCCAGTGCAAACATGGGGATGATTTTCCTGCTCTTCTTGATGGGAAACCACTTCAGCTTACTTCTGACACTGGATTCTCATTGTGTCATTTTTTTTTTTTTAATTTTTCTTTTTTTCTCCTTCTTCCCAGAGGCAAACTATGCAAGAGGCACCAGGCTCCCTCTTTCTGGTGAAGGACCAACTTCTCAGCCGAATAGCTCCAAGCAAACCGTCCTGTCTTGGCAAGCTGCAATCGACGCTGCTAGGCAGGCTAAGGCTGCCCAAACTATGAGCACCTCCGCACCCCCACCTGTCGGATCTCTCTCCCAAAGAAAACGTCAGCAATACGCCAAGAGCAAAAAACAGGGTAACTCATCCAACAGCCGACCTGCCCGTGCCCTTTTCTGTTTGTCTCTCAATAACCCCATCCGAAGAGCCTGCATTAGTATAGTGGAATGGAAGTATCCTTTTCTGGGGGAAATCTTTCTCATTTTCTCTTTACCATCTGTTCTTTAAAAGGATTTGTTGTCTGAAATGGCACTTAACAAAGTGATAGCACTTTGGAATGTGAGCAACAGAAGCTGTGTATATAGGGTTTCATGGTATATAATTTTCTATCTCCTCTGGGTACAGATGGGTATCTCTCTGGGTAAATTTAGGCTACTGCATGTGTGTGTGTATGCGGTGTGTGTGTGTAGTGGTGGCAAGGGAGGGAATGACAACCTGAAACTTCAAAGGGGTAGATAATTAAATTAACCTTTGGTCATCTGACACTAGATGGTTAGGTTAAATGCACCTTTGTTTTTTGGCAGTGGTATGCATTGAACCTATTACAAATAAGGTATGCTCATTAAAAACAAAAAACAAAAAAACTCTACTAGGAATAAATACATTTTTGACCTTTAGTGGAATCTTCTCATTCTGATGTTTGAAATTTGCTTTGGATACTCCAAGTAATGCTAAGGTTGCTTGTAGGTCTGCCATTTGGTGAGTCTGATTGTTCAGGTAGCTACAAATATGAACATTTGCTTCACAGGGAGGGAGCGATTTGGTCATCAGTGCTGTGGTTTCCTGGAATTTCCTTTTGACAAGTTCCAAAACAGCATTTGAAATGTGAGCATGAGGGAGCCTGTGGAGGCAGAGGTTTGTGTGTGCGTCTTCCAAAGCCCGCGAGAGTTAGCGCCCAGCCCTCTCCGTGGAGGAATTTGCAGTTGTTGCCTTTATAAAAAAAAAAAAAATTCTGTGTCCTTGGACTGGAGCTACATTTCTGGGTTTCTCCTTTGTATTTTTAAACCTGAGCTCCCGATGCCCCAGGCAGGTTATTAGGGCTCAGATCTTGGAAAACTGGGGTGCATTGCCTGCTCACCTCCTCCCTTAACCTGGAGGCCAGGCTCCAGTCCCTGCCACCCGTCAGAAGAGGTTGACTGAGGTCTTCTTTCTGAGCAAATAGCTTTCTAATTAGTCAGATGATTCACTGGTTTGGTAAAACACAGCATTTCCTTTTCCCAGAATTATATTCGGGGTTGACCCGGGCCCTTGAGCAGTCCCTAGGCTTGGGAAGGAGTATGGATGTAGGGCTTTCCCACCGAGCCCGGGTCGAGAGGCCATGCTCTAAAGAGAGGACACTGGTTACCAGCTGGCTGGCGAGTGGAGCTGGAACCCCCTTATCATTTGAGTGCCTACCAAGGCAGCCCTTTGTCCGCCCTCTGTCTTAGCTGGCTATTTCCTGTGCTCACAGAGAGTTAGAATGCGGTAACTGTCTAGAAAGGTTGTGGAGAGAGTAGCCCAGGGTAGGCTTTGAGGGGTCTTCACGTGCGTTTCCTTTCCAGAACAGATGTCTTCTCCAGCGGGTGTCGCGGTGTCTCTCACATGGCTGGGGCTGTGTGGATGTGTTTTTCTCTTTAGGTTCTTTTTGAGTCTGAGGACTGAACACTGGATCGGCCCAGGAGGGAGCGGGATCACAGGGAGGGGGTCCCTCGGAGGGGGGTTGGTCTCTCAGCCGCATGGCAGGAGCACTTAGTCAGATCGTACTTAGTCACAAAGGTCTCCTCCTCCTCAGGTTGGCTTGACGTGACTCTGAGTAAGCAGACACCTCTCGGTGGGGTCATTAATTTCATGCGGAGTGAGGTGGGAGGCCTGGTGCTGTTTCTCTTTGTGCACCGTAATTTGTATATAGTAATTTATGTGAACGGAGCGAACTCCTGGATGGTGGTGCTAACTCCCTTTCCCGCATTGCCAGACACGTGTGTGCAGGAATTAGGGGCTGCGGCTGCCAGTGCAGGGAGAAGCCTCCCTGCAGATGGGAAGCATTTGCAGAATAGATCCTGAAATGCTATGTGATGTGTTGTTTTCAGTTGACAGTTTCCTTTAAGTTCTGGGAGCAGGGCACAGACAGCCTTCTAAAGTCAGCTGTGTGCCAGGCTCTGTCAGCACTGGGCGAATGAGGTTTTTGAACCTGCTGTTTGTTTATACATGCAGGCAAGGCAGTGTGTCCTGCACTTGGGGGAACAAGGAAGGGATATTTAGGATCAGCCCCATCTATTTCTCTGACACTCTGTTCTGCTTGGCTTGTCAGAATCTTGTGGCAGAAGGATAGGATCCAGTATTACCTGCAATCTGAAACTTTTTTTCACCGTGATGAAAAAAGTAGTCTTCTGTTTGGTTTTCCTAAATAGCATCAGTACTTCTCTGATTTGCTGGTTTATCATTTAGGTATCGGGAAACTTAAAAGGCAGAATGGTGATGTGGGAGATGGCAGAGGCAGTGAGTGTGTTTTCATATAGGATGATGTCTTTGGGGCAATTGACTTTTTAGGTTTTAGAAGGAATTGCCAGAAGGAAAGATGAAAAGGAGTTTCTGAAGTCTTTTTAAAGTAGACTGCCTTAAAGTTGGATCCCTACATAAGAGATTTTGTAATACTAGGTGAGTTAAAAGAATAACTATGAGGGAAGGAAAAGTGTCTTGAAAAATAAATCCATCAAATTAGTAAGGGAATAATATCATTCACATCCATGTTTCAGTGAGTGTTAAAGTTCTTCAAAAGGCTGAGGTTTCATGAAACACAATGGAGCAGAGACATGAGGGGTCTTTATTTCCTTCAGCATCTTTGGGTTGTCCAGAAGGAAGTTAAGGTGAATGCAGAAGATCTGTGCACATTCTCCAAACTTTAGGACTTGGAGGTGTTTAGTGAAACTGTGGCTTTGCCTTTAGTGGATGAGTGTTTGGGAGAAACCGTGTTGTACAACCAAGCCTGGTTAGAGATTAGATTGGTGCTTGTGAAACCTTGCATTTGGAAAGGCTGAAAACCAAGAGAGGAAAAACAGTCATTTTTGGCAGATGTCAAATTTTGTATTGCCAGTTTTGACAGTGTCTCTTAATAACACCAGAATGTTTAAGCAAGTATCTGTTGAGGCCGCTCGCAGAGTGATTCTTCCAGACAGACCCCTGAGATTTAGAAATGTTAAATAGAACTCTGAAAGTGTCTGGTGCTGATTTCTTATGGCCTTGTATTTGATTTGTTTATGAATTGAACACAATAACAACACATTATAAACGGAGCTCCAGTCCAGCTCAAATCTGAAACAGTGGTAACTGCTGGTTAGTAAGGAAAGCAGAGGAGGGAGGTGAAGCCTGAGTTGCTTGTTACAGGATTGGAATAGCTACGAGACAGTCGCAGGTGGTTTGGAAAAGGTCCTTGGTGACTTGGCCTGTCCTAGTCCAGACAGGAGATCCAGGCGGACCTGGCCAAGAAGAGCCACCAAGAAAATGGCTCTAACACGTGGTGGCAGGGATTTGTGAAAGAGATTTATCTCATGATGATTTTTCTTTGCGTCTGCAACAGCCAGGAATTTAGCTTTCTAAGGCCCTTGTTGCTGTGAAAATGACACGAAGCAGAAACCTGGTTCACACAGTGCCCTAGTTGGATGAACTTTCAGGTTTTCATATAGAATGTCCAACAGAAGGATGAGTGTAACATAATCCTTGCCACAGAAGAAAAGGACTCATGGAGAGGTCATTTGATAGGAAGATCTGCTGTGAGTTGACCACTGATGATTACTGCTGCTGGAAACCTCATCATCACAGCAGTCATTTGAATAAGGATTTGTGTGTAAGACTGTCAGTTAAAAAGCAGTTCAAGATGGTGTGATTGAGAGTGTGATGAGAGAGATGGTGTATGTTGGCATGACGCATATATACCTTAACAAAAACTTTCAGACCATTTGACATATTTATATTATTGGCTATTTTTGCCAATTGTGTGGCCTTAGCTATTTACATCCCATTCCCTGAAGATGATTCTAATTCAACAAATCATAACTTGGTAAGTGTCCTTAGAACTGCTACTTGTCTTGATATGTGCTTGTCAGTGACCTCAGTACAGAAGTTGGCAGCTGGCTTTCTGGGTGGTTGAAATTTACAATGATGCATGTGATGTTTCAGAGTTTTGCAGCAGTGGTGTTTTTTTTTTTTTCTTTTGACCTGTATTCTCAAATTTATACTGAATGAATGAAGTGTTTAAAGTCATGAATTTTGTATAAATAGAAGTGAAACTTCATGGAAGAGGTTTGTAGCAGATTTAAAAATAACTTTTCTCTCCACGTAGCCTTTTTTTGGTTCCACCATTCTCTTCCTGGTAATGTTAGCCTTTTTTTTTTCTCTTAATCTAGTGTTATTTGGGAGTTTGGGGTACTTTGGTCAGTTTTTCTGGTAAGTAGAGAGTTATATAGATTTTGTACATCAGCTATTGTTGCAGAAGTAGAACACGACAAAACTAATCATCATAGAACATAATTCTGAGAATAATATAATAGAGTGTCTAAGTTCCTCCTGTTAGTCCTATGACATGCTCCAGGATAAAATGATTCTATAGTGAAATAAATTGGGATACTTCCATATACTTTATTGCTCTCTTAAAGATTTATTGTGCACATTAACTCAGTAAAAGCTCCAGGAAAGTCTGTAGTTAAAAAACCAGTTTCATTTTGTTTAACTCAGCTTAGTCCCTGAAAGTAATTGGTCATGGATTCTTTAAACATTTTTTTGGCAGCGTGCATCACAGTGTTTCATGGAACTTCCTTTGGGAAAGGTTGATATAGTTTAAAAAAAAAAAAAGCACTGAAGAGCACTGGAATGGGACTAGGAATTGTCCCACTGGGCTGTCAACTGTCTGCATTTTGGGGCGTTTCCCAGATCCTTTCTGCATTGCTGTTGACCCATCTGTCAATTCAGGGGACCGGACGAGAAGATCGCCAGGGTTGTTTTTACCTCTGACATCCTGTAATCTTGCCCTGATGATTCAGAATTCAAGATTTTTCTGGTGCTGTGGCATCCTCTTTGCAAGGATCAGTCCTTCATGACCGGAGCCCATGCAGAAATGAGGTGAATGAGGGCCTGGTCCTGGATAACAGAAATTTTCTCTCCTGCTTTGCTTTTCCCTCTTTCAGCTGGTTCCATTTGCTTTTGGTTTCTTATGTTGAAGCTGTATTTTAATAGGTCTGAATATTCTTAGCTGCATGTACTGAAGGTAGAACTAGGGTGGGGAGAGCTCTCCCAGGGTCTGAAGATGGTGACATTATGCTCTTTTGACTTAGACTTCATGGTTTATGTACGGGATTTCATGTTGCATCTCTAATGTGCAGCATATTTTATATGTAGTGTGATTTCTCTTCATCTTTGGGCTTTTGTAGTCTGATGTGTAGAGAATTTTAAAAAATTATGGATACTGCTACTGCAAGTACAACTGGAAATGGGAGTTGGATATACAGATAAAGACTGACTGTTAGTATATATTTATACTATGTTAGAGATGATTTATGTGACTCTGGGTATTTTAAATAGCTTCTGATTTGGTTGTAGACATGTGCCTTTAGACAGTCATTTCAAAGGAGAAGCCGAAGTAGTGAAAAGCCCCTATCAGTGGGGCTAGATCTCAGTCTAGGCCACAGATGGTGTCAGCCTTGTTACCAAATTTAACAACGTGGATGGTGACCCAGTTTGTTGCTTTTTTGTAGCTCAAGAGAACATGATTAAACAAACTTAGAAAATAAATACCTTTCAGAAAGGCAGATTAATTCAGATCAATGGAATAATTAATGTAGCTGCATGTGTAAGTCAATTAATATTCTGATTTTTTTTTTTCCCCAGGGAAATTCAGGGCACTAATATAAGAAGTGTCAGACCACTTGGATTTCTCAGCTAATAACTGGGGGAATAAATATAGGAAATAAATAAACTATAGGAAATGAATAAATCTTTCTTCCTAACCCCTGCTGTCCCTCCCCAGTGGATCTTTTCTTGGCAGTTCTTAAACAGTGGTCTTTGTGGGTGGGAGAGGGCAGGGTGTTAGTTTGGCAAGCCTTTTTAAAAAACCAACATATATTTCTTTGACCTCTTAATATTCTAAAGCTTAGAGCATTCTAGTTTGTGTGTCCGTTTACTTGGCTGGTCACATGGCCGGATGAGTTTAATCTCTGCCTAACTCTTTAAATGTCTCTTTTCCCACTGTGGGAAGGGAAAACTCTGTGGATTTCCCCCTGACTCTCAGCAAGGTCCCATGCCATGTCAGTCCTCCTGCCAGGGAGCAAGTTGTTTTTTTTTTTTTTTTTATAATACATTTGACCCCATTTGTACCAAAGTGATTGCTCTATTTTTGGGATTTGTTTAGAGGCAGCTGAACGAAGCTTATTTTTCATCTGTAGTAAGTACCTTTCAATGAATGTGAATGGCAAATCAAAGGGCAGAGACCCATACGGATTGCAAAGCTGTACGTGTCAGGGAGCTGGTGGTTTCCTTTGCCTGCAAGCTCTGTTGGGAATGTGGATGTTGAGCAGAGTACAGTACTGTACCCATAGGTACAGTTCAGGGCCAGTTTTGTGGAAGATGTTTCTGCCTGTTGCAGGTAGTTTGTTGTGAGATTATTACTTTCGTTGCCTAAGAAGTGCAGCCATCACCCTTGGTCCAGTGTGGCTTTGGCCTGGGTTGCACGTCACTGAGCCAGCTTTGGGCATTTGAGATTACCTTGGGAGCAGCAAGTTTTCCCAGGGGTAGTTTAAAAAAAAAAAAAAATATATATATATATATATAAACAGTCTCAAGTTTCTGCGCAGCTTTCCTTTGTGGACTTGCAGGGACCCATGGAGGCTGCAGCCATGGAAACAGTGCAACTCAGTTGCCGTAGCCATCTCCCTCCTGGATCAGTCAGTAGCAGGGGTTCTGCTTATTGAAAGCATATATCATTCATTTAATTTTCTTCTTAGCACGGGGCAGGGGGGCGGAGAGCGCTTCTTTATGGAGTGTCAGAGTGGGGACGATCACAGTTCCTATACTTCACTGTGGTGGAAAATGCTTTATTTGGCTTTCCGAACTTCAGTTTCTCATTAGCAACTGACTGAAGCCTCAGTCTGGGCATCCTGTACCTGGAACTCCCACCCCACCCCCAGGCTCTGCAGTGCTAAACAGCCTCAAATTAGAACCTTCCAGAGAGGGGCCCCAGCTTCCTCAATGTCTGCAGCCATGGTTGGGGGGGCCCGTGGCCCCCACCACACTGTCCCTTTACCAGGTTACAAAAATGCTTCAGAAACTCAGAGAGATGGTTTTAAGTCTTTGAGCCCCTTTCATCTTGTCTTTGTGAGTGTGTTTTTTTAATATGTGTTTATTTATTCATTTGACTGTATCAGGTCTTGCTTGTGGCATGTGGAATCTAGTTCCCTGACCAGGGATCCAAGCTGGGCCCCCTGCGTAGAGTCTTAGCCACTGGACCAGCACAGAAGTCCCACCTTTATGTTTTTAGGTTGCAGACACTGGGCCTCTGTAAAGGCCCCCGCGTCTTCCCCTTCATCTCCATTCACTCTGTGGTTGGGTGGCTTTTGCTGGACGACTGAACATGAGGCTTCAGGGGCCACCTGCTGTCCGAAGGAAGTCCAAGTCCTCCTTGGTCTGCCTGGCCTTTTCTGCTTGACTCTCTGTGCCTCTCCTTCATGCCCCCCCCCACCCCATTCTCTTCATCCACCAGCCTTTCCTAAACACCCCTCCCTACTCTGGTCCACCTCCTGGCCTTTTCTCCATCTGAGATAGCTCTTCCTCCCTCCCACCTCTCCATCATCATCACTGTTCTCAGGAAGACTCTCAGAAGGTTGTCTGTGCTGTGAAGCCTTTTCTGAACCTTCTTAGAAGTAACACTTTTATCTGAACTGCTCTCCTGGCACTTTGCATATGAAGCACTCTATATTTTAGTTATTTATGTGCACATCTTATCTTTATCTTATCAAGCCTCTTCAGAATACAATTCACAGTGAATCCTTTTGGAACCCCAACAGCACAGAGCCCAGTGGGGTATACATGATGCTCATAAACGCGGGTTGTTGAGGACCACTGAATGACCAATCTCAGGAGAAGCTCCTCACCCTTCAGTTTCTCCTCTGAACTCAGAGTTTCCCCAGGTGGCAGGTCTCTCCACGGACACCTCCGAAATCCTCGGTTGGGGGTGTTGTGGCAAGTTCCCAGTGTTCACTCCTGACCCTGCTTCTTATGTCCATGTGGCTGAAGGTGCGGTTGGAGCTGGGTTTCCCTACCAAGCATTCCTGTAGGTTTTGTGCTCCGGCTCCGGGGCTAGTCGTAGCAGAGTGCTGGGAGCCTCCCTGTGAAGCAGTGCCGCCTGGGGATTCTTGTCAGTGAGACCAGATGCCTTACGAGGGCCCGGAACGCTGCGGGACAGGCTGCTTTGAGTGCGTTCTGTCCTCCATGGCTGAGATCCCCACACTGGGTTTCCTGGGTTTAAAAAGCAAGTTCATTGGCTCTGCATGCCCCAGGGTTTAGCATCTCACATACTGAACGGTGTGAATTGAATTGAAATACCTGAAACACCGTGTCCTAACTTGGCTGCATGGGCTTTGCCTAGAAGGTGGCTTTTAGTTCTGTACCTCATCTCTGTCTTTCTGTTTGAGCTGTGTGTATTTCTGCATGCCTTTAGATTCTGGTTTTTTTTTAAGGATTGCTCCTGTGTTGCCCTCACTTCAGCCTTCTCTGGCCCTTGTCCCCACCTTCTACCCCACCAGCCTGTGTAAATAGTCCTTGCTTTCCCTTTTGCAGACATTCGCCCCTTTTCACCTTATTCTGTAACTACTGTGGGATGTTGCTTGGTGTGTGGAGTGCAGTTCTGTATGTGGTCTCTGGGCTCTGACAGCCTGGCTCTTTGGATGATGAGCTAACTGACTCTGGACGAATGTAGCACATGCTGAAGCTGGAGTCTGGTTGATCTCTATGGTGTTGTGATCTTCACTCTGCTTAGGGGCACAGTAGGCACATTAGGAAATGCATATGAAA